GAAAGATGAACTGAAGTTCGACAAGTGCCCCAGCGCAGTAGTCTAAACCCTTCGATTCTTAGCATATGCACAGTCTTCTGCAATGCGAGATTAGACAGCTGTTTGATCTCCATCACTGAGGGACAGGATTGCTGCTGTTGTGGCTTACTGTATGGAGCCCCACAGGATCAAGACCCACACCAGGCAGCTCGTATCAATACTTTAAGCTTTGGGGGGGGGGGGGTTGCTGTTTAGGGCTTGGTTTTTGTTCGGGTCGTCAGTTGGACGGTTCAGTAAAAGTCACGGGTCGTTGGCTAGCTGAAGCGAAACAAGATGCATAGTGAGAGATGGAGCAGAGAGCGACAAGGAGGGTGAGAGGGAGAGGGAGAGAGAGAGAGAGAGAGAGAGAGACAGGGAGAGAGAGAGGGAGAGAGAGCAAGGGACGGAGGGAGCGAGAGGCTGCGGATAATTCTTCTGTCATACAGACCAACATATGCATATTATCAGTGTATACATGTGATACCAAGGCGAGACAAGTACCAGCAGAAGCTCATCGAATATTATGTCGATGTTGAAACCCACTGCCTTCGGGAGAACGAGTTTAGCGAAAAGCTCAGCTCCACCTACTTGGGTGAAGGTGAGGCTCCAGACTCTTTGGAGATTGGGGGCTTCACGGGTGAGCCCATTGCAGCACTGGGGGCTTCCGCGAACGAAGCTGCGACAGATGAATCTGACGAAGACGATGACAACAAGACTGCCAAGCGCCGCAGCAAGAAAAACAAGTCGAAGGACAAGTCGGCCGATGTTCTGAATCGCGAACACGCCCTGGAGGCGAACGAGACCCAACTATATAGGCTTATCACCTACCCTTGCCTGCCTGCCCTGTGCTTTGTAGGCGGCCGAGAACCTGGGCGAGATTATGTCGAATGTTCTTCGAACACAATCGAAGCTGCAACAGACTGTCGACAAATTGGGCGCTCAGGGTGCCAGTGGCAAGTGGCTTGCTCTCCTATATACGTGATTTATGGGTGTCTGAGTGTGTCGTCTCAATCAAACCAAAAGTGCTGCTGAAAGCTTTTGCATGACTGAGGGACACCAAGAATATCCACGAGCACTTGGCCAAGGTTAGTGAGCTCCATGACAAGTTGGCTGATCTGAAGGCAGATTTCGATGCATGCCGTAGTGAACCACCCGTGGCGACTCTTGACTAGTTTGCTCTGAATCCTGAGATGCATCATGTGTCCCTATCCATTCCCATAAGGCAGCTTCAGAAGCTGAAGGACACGATTCGACAGGTGGAAACTGCGCGAGAGCCTCATGTTTTCTACTCACCCGTACAAGCCCGAAGCACCATGCCCTGAACCCGCTAAACCCATATTGGCTCAATCAGGTGCAGTCGTGCCACCATGGAAGACACGAAGATCAAGAGGAGACTTGGCTAAATTGATGCTCGAGAATGAAATATAAACCATATATATCTTGAAGCTGGCCCGAGCAACGAGCCTGGAATTCAACCCAAAACAAACAAAATAAGAAACTTACCCTATCAGCCCCAACCGTCCAAGGACCGTGCTCCGGAGGCCATCGTCATCGGATGGCCCAGGTGGCCTCAAGTCTGATGAGGACACAGCCCCAGATGCAGGCTCTAACAAGACCTCTAGCAAGAAGCCGAAGAAGCCGAAGAAGACTGGGGGGAAGGCTGGTAAGTCTTCAAAGGCTAAAGCGGCCAAGCCTAGCAAAGGGTCGGGCAAGAAGCGGTCCAAGTGAGTTTCACACTTGTCTGTACGAAGGGCCTGGGTCGTGGCTGTACAAGTGTATGAGATGCTTGTGTTGAAATGATGTGCAGAAAGTATATGCTTCAAGGCTACGATGCCAGGCACATGGGGTTTGCCTGTACAGTGTTATGTGGCTCCAACCATGTACATGGAAGCAATCTTGACTTATTCGTCTCCATATGCTTCACATAGACGTGTTTCGTTGCCACCGTGACACAAGCAGGAACGATCGCATGGCGGGATTTGGTTTACCAGCCGCCAAAATCAGAAGATGGGGTTCTTTCTGCTGTAGCTCCACGAAACATGCGGAGTCCGAGAAAAAAGCCCGTACGTGTATTGCATGACAAGTGAAGCAGGTGCTGGATGACATCTTGCACCAAGACCAAACCCTGTGGCCTCCGACAGGTGCTGCTCCATCTTCGTCGTCGACCGGTCCTGCGGCAAAGGCTTTAGCGCGGGCTGTTGCCAAGGGAGTAGCTTGGAGGAAGTATTTATGTTTGTTTTGAACACGTCCTGAACCTATGTTTGCGACGATCGACTGTCCTAGAGTTGAGGTTTCTGAAAAGGAAGCATGTGCCATTGCTGAAGCAATCTGGTCTGAATTTTCTCAATTACCTGGTTCATCTTCAGTGGCGAGCAGCTCGTTCCTTGAGAAAGCTACCAGGCTGGCTAGGACCTCCCACGAGAATTCATTCACGGATGTTTGTGAACGATTTGGGCTGCGAGCCCAAGTTCCTGTGACTTTCGTGGAAGTCGGACTGAAGGATGAGCATCCGATCCTATCCGTCTCAAATATGATTGGTTGTATGTCAAAGCAAAACAAGTTGGACCTCTTGCTTACTGGACATAGCCCTGCCCAGCTCCAACAATTTTGGGAACAATGGAGAGGCTCGAACTTTTCCCATCCAGTGTTTCAAGAACACGACGGCAGGCTCGACGCTTGTGTGCCAGTCTTTCTTCACCTCGACGAGGGTTCTTCTATCAAAAAACGAGGTTTGATGGTCGTCCATTGGCAACCTACTTTAGGCAAAGGCACATCGCGAAACAAGAACGACATGAACATGATAGGGTCCAGCATCGCCACGAGATTCCTCTACAGTTGCATGCTAGCCAAAGTTTACGGTGGAAAACAGAAAAACAAGCCACTCTTGCTTTTGACGGAGCATCTCGCGAAAGAGCTCCGTGCGCTATTCTACGATGGGCTGTTCGTGAATGTGAACGGGAATCCTCAAAGGCTGTTCATCATATGCATTGGCATGAAAGGTGATTGGGCGGGATTGGCAAAAGTCGGTGTGCTCAACCGAAGTTTCCATCGTGATGCTCCGGCAAAGCCATTCGGGCCAGGGATCTGCCACCTGTGTAAGGCAGGTCAAGAGAACCACCCGTGGCATTTGGCGGACTACGAGTCAATGGTTGAGGCACACAAGGACGTCCGTCCACCGTGGCGGCAAGAGTCGCCTCTGGTGGAATTTATTCCTTGTCCTCCTTACAAGGCCACGTTTTTCCGAATAGACATATTCCATACATGCCACAAAGGACTATGTGCCGACATCGCGGCGAATGGCATCGCTCCTCTGATCCCATCATGAAGTTCTTGTTCTCTATACAGCAGGGTTGAATATAGCTTTCGCTTGTAGGTGTGGTCCATCCTACCCAGGTCACCCTCATCGATTTGGGCATCTACGGTACTGGTGATGTCAAGGTGCATCTCGAGGTTATCTATGAAGAACTGGTCTTCTACTGTTCCAAAGGAAAAATTCCACTGCACATGATGGGGCTCACCCGGACATTGGTCGGGTATGGCAGTTCGGCTGACTACCCAACCGGGAAACTTGGAAGCATATTCGAATCCGGATTTTTGATTTCTGCTATAAACGGCATTCAACATGTATTTATACATATCAAGGTTGTTAGGGGCCGGTGTTAATTTCAGGAACTGGTTTAAGGGCGCCGACACGGTGTCCTTGTGCAAGTTCTTGCAGCACAAGTTTGCTTCGGTTCTCGTTGCTTGTGCGCCTGATGAACGACCTTATGTTCGAAACATATTGGCAATGCTTCGGGCCTGCAACACGTTTATGTCGACGATGTACCATGGAGATGTATTTCTGACGGACGACGAGAGGAGAATCCTCATTCGCAATGGACATGTGGTTACCACCAAATTTGCCGCTTGCGCTTCCCATGCTTATCACACGCTGAACATCCCGAGATACAAGTACCAACCAAAGTATCACTTCTTCGCTGAGGTTGTCTACAAGCTTGAAAGTGACCAGAGGGCCGGTGTAGCATCGGTAAACCCGGTGCTAGAATCAACCCAAGTCGATGAAGATTTCATCGGTAGAATATCAAAGTTTTCACGAGAAGTCTCAAGCCGGACGATCCATATTCGGACATGCAAGAAATACTTGATGTCTTTAGCATCGCTGTGGTAGTGGTGATCGAGCACTTCCCATACGCTTCCCCCTTAATTAAAGAAGGCCAAGTCCTTTGTGTAGTCATCCAACGATCACCGCCACCATGGCTGACAGACCTGAGCGCGGCTCAGGGTTTCGGGGAGTGTTGCCGCCTTTGACTGGCATTTGCAGAACCTGAGTCGCGGGCTAAGGCAAAAGACGATCATCAGGAAGTGCTGGTACATCTTTCGGCATCTTTCAATGCTTGTTTTCACATCATGACCCAGTAAAGCTAAGGATCCCGAAATCGTGATTTTAAAGTTGCTTATTCTAGGATCCAGAAGCGGCAACAGTGCGGAGTTGCAGCTTTTAAACGGCCACCGGGTTTTGCAGGTAAGACAAATTCGCCTGATAGAATCTGATAGAACCCATGACGAAGCCTACACAACCCCTATACCCAGAGAGCCCAATACCCCTTAACCAAACACCCCGTAATTGAGGAATATGCCTTAAATCATAATATTAAGGCCCCTATAATTTAAGGTATATTCCTTAATTGCGGGGTATTGGGCTCTCTGGGTAAATCCCAGCAACAAGGAGCGCCTTGCTACACAATGCAAAATGCAGGTGAAGGCGGATACTAAAGCCCTTCAAAAGCCATACCAGCCCTTGCAGGACCCTACAAACCCGGATAGGACTTCCGAAAAAAAACATATTATAATATAGAAACCTCATAAGACAAAACCTCATAACATCGGAACCCATACAGAACCCTTAGAAAACCTAAACAGAACCCTTCTAAACGCCCTTGCTGAGATCCCTAAACCCTAAACCCTAAACCCGAAACCCTGGCCTTTGAGGTAGACGTGGATCATGCAGGACTCGGGCTCAGGTGGTTCGAAGCGCAGGAGGCTCAGCGCCGGTTCGGCCGTCATGGCTTCCACCAGCTCCTCTGGTGGGTTGTTTTACGGTTTAGGGTTTAGGGTTTAGGGTTTAGGGTTTAGGGTTTAGGGTTGTTTTAAAGTTTTTTTTGTTTTTGAACTCCTTTTTCCGAAGCCCGGAGGTCTTAAAACAAGGTTTAGGGTTTAAGGTTGTTTTTCTAAGGGTGTAGGGTTTAAGTTTTTTTTTCGAGGGTTTAGGGTTTATAAGGTTTAGGGTGTAAGGTTGTTTTTTAAGGGTTTAGGGTTTAGGGTTTAAGGCGCAGTAGGCCTTCTTCCTGGCACATCCCAAAGGGTTTAGGATTTTTGAGACAAGGTTTGGAGTTTGGGTTGTTGTGAGGGGTTAGGGTGTACAGGGCTGGGGCGAAGGGTTCCATTAAAGGTGCTCTCATTCACGGGGCCTTAGGGTGCTCTGCGGCCTGGGGTTTAGCTTAGTCTCCATTGTAGTTCCTTTTTTTAAGTTAGCCAAATTTATATTATGGGATCCCAACCATGAGATTGGTTAACCAAAAAGGGAACTACAATAGACTTTAGGTAGTGTGAGGGTTTGAAGGTCCAAGCGCGTTCGGTTGTGGGGCTTAAGGCGTAGGGGTTGTTAAAAGGGTCTTCCGGTATGAGGACGAGGGTTGGGGGTATGCTGAACAGTAGTGATATAGGGACTCTGACGGGATATCATCATTGATCATCCCGACCGCGAAATTGGGGATTTGAGGGTTTGAGATTTCCTGAAGATGTAAGGTTTAGGGGTATGGAGATTTAGTGCGCATAGTCTCATGGTCTACTGTAGGTTTTGATGATGTAACATAGCGTTTCGGGGTCTAGCGATGCTGCTTCATCTGATACGCCATTAATTTATCTTTTCGCGCGTCCTCCCACTGAGGACTCGTATGTTGCTACCTATGCTACCTGTACCCGAACAGCTCCAGGCAGCCCGGAGAAAAGAGTGCGGAATTTGATGCTGGACTTAAGTTTAGAGCTTTGGCCTTTGCCACGCTGCCTGTCTCATCAAGCATGAAAGTATTCCTCACGATGGTTCTTACGTGCATTCTTCAAACCTCATGGTGTTAAACGTGTCTGCCTAAACTCTTAAATGACAGCCACCCTCAACACTCAACAGACAAGTTGTAAGCCCCTACATACAGCCGAGATAAAGCAGAAAACATGAAACCATCGTACACCCAATATAGAAAGCCTTACAGCACTTGGCTCAGCCTTCTGTAGTGTCCTGAAGCCGTAGGAAGCGCTGTGTGAAGGAACCCAGATGGCACCTGAGCTGCTCCTGGCTGCTTTGAACGGTAATGTGGGGATTCCGGTTTTGAGGCTTGAAGTATTCGGGTTTTGAGTTCAGGCTTTGAGGTCTAGGGTTTAGGGTGCAGGGTCGGAGGGTTTAGGGTGCATCACGGTTTCTTTATAAGTGGTGGTGCATCGACTGGTGTATGGTTTCATCAAAGACGATACCATGGTCTATGGTGTTTCGGGGGGGGGTCGTAAAACCAAGGCCAGGTCTAGTCAGGGTTTGGGAACTAACTAACTAATTAACTAGGGTGTAACAGTAAATAGGACCTGAAACGAAGGTCGTGTAGCATCAGTCATGCTGGTCTACGGCAGAATGCCTCAAACTTCGGACTTCACATCCCTCTAAACCTTAAATCCTGAACCCCAAAACCCCTTAACCCAAAGGTCCTAAGCCCTAACCCCCAAGGAAGGTGAGCTGAGACTTTGAGGTGCCGCTGCTTTGATGTGAGTAGTTGTGTTAGGTGTGGGTTGAGCGTTTAGGGTTTAGGGTTTAGGGTGCCTTGATGTGGGACCGTCAAGCTATCAGAATGCGTCTTCAGCACGTCCGTCTAGATTTCTAGGCTACGTAGTTTAGCTACATGGTTTACACCCAAGAAGACGCGTAAACACATCACCCCACCAACCTAAGCTCTACGAGCCGTAGATTCCCTGAAACTACATAACAATAGGGTTTAGGGTTGAGGGTTTAGGGTTGCCTAAACCCTAAGTCCTGAGACCTGAACTCTTAAACTCCCTAAGTAGAAATGCGGCAATGGGAACCCTAAACCCTAAATAACAAATAACGCTAAACCCTAAGCCCTAAAAACCCTAAAAACCCTAAAAACCCTAAACCCGAGGCTCCCTGGCATCCAACCACTGAGGGGTAAAGGTGAAGAGACCACCCCCCAGCCGACTGCGCCAGTCCTGGGCCCAGGGGTGGAAGAGTCTGGGGTTTAGGGTTTGGGGTTGAGGGTTTAGGGTTCAGGGTTTGGGGTTGAGGGTTCCCCGAGAGCCCAATACCCCTTAATTAAGATATAGACCTAAAATCATAATATTGAGGCACCTATAATTTAAGGTATAATCCTTAATGAAGGAGTATTGGGTTCTCCGGGTTGTGGGCTTTGGGTTGGGGGCTGAGGGTTTAGTTCAGGGTTTGGAGTTGGCGTTGGAGGGTTCTGTCTTTACGGCTTGGGGTATGGGGTTTGGGGTCGAGGGATGAGGGTTTTGGGTTTGGGGCTTCGGGTTTAGAGTTCGGGAGTTCAAGTGTTTCGGGTTTCGTTTAGGATGGATATCCCCTGAAAGGATGCAAACACAAAATGGTTTGAGGTTCCTTGACAGGTTCCATGAAGTCTTTACGAAGGGCCGGTAATCCTCCTCGGCGTCTCCCTCTTTAAAATGAGGAAACTCGAACCACAAACAAAGCAAAACGGATCCCCGAAACCCTAAACCCACCCTGGATATAAATTTAGCACCCCAAACCCCTAGACCCCTAAACCCCCCCAAGTTTAAAACTCTAAACTCTAATCTAAAACCCTAAAGCCCTAACCCCTAAACCCTAAAACCTTACACCTAAATTCAACAATCCTCAACCCCAAACCCCTGAAGGCCCCTAAACCCTAAAACCTTAAACCTAAATTCAAAAACCCTGCACCCAAACCCCTAAACCCTAAGCCCTAAAACCTGAATTCCAAAGCCCTCAACCCCTAACCTCTAAACCCGAAAACCCTAAAACCAAAATTCAACAAAACCTTCAACCCCAAACCCCTAAACCCTGAGACCCTGAGACCCTGAAACCCTAAAATCCTAAACCCTAAAGAACCCTAAACCCCAAACCCTAAACCCATCCAAACCCTAAAACGCTAAAGAACAAAGAATCCTAAACCCTAAAACCCTGAAAGCCCCAAAATAACATTGCAAGAGTCTGAGGCCAGGGTGATCAGGGAGTCAGAGGCTCCCAGAAGTGCTCCAGCCATGCCTTTTGCGGTTTTAGGATCGTTGGGATTTAGGGTTTTTGCGGTTTTAGGATCTTTGGGGTTTAGGGTTTGGGATCGTTGGGGTTTAGGGTTTAGGGTTTTAGGGTCGTTGGAGTTTAGGGTTTAGGGGTTTAGGAACTTCGGGGTTTAGGGTTTAGGGTTTGGGATCGTTGGGGTTTAGGGTTGTTGGGTTTGGGGTCGTTGGGGTTTACGGTTTTTGGGTTTTGGATCTTTGGGGTTTAGGGTTTAGGGTTTGGGATGGTTGGGATTTAGGGTTTTGGGTTTAGGATCTTTGGGGTTTAGGGATTTGGGGTTTAGGATCTTGGGGGTTTAGGGTTTAGGTTTTAGGATCTTTGGGGTTTAGGGTTTAGGATCGTTGGGGTTTAGGGCTTTTGGGGTTTAGGATCTTTGGGGTTTAGGGTTTAGGCTTTAGGATCTTTGGGGTTTAGGGTTTAGGATCTTTGGGTTTAGGGGATCTTTGGGGTTCAGGGCTTAGGGTTGAGGATCTTTGGGGTGTACGGTACCTTATTTTGGGGGTCCTCATAACAAGGATCCGACTATTTAGGGCGTTTTTTTTTAGGGCCCCCTAGGCATCTAATTATCGCATTATAGGGTTCAGGGTCGTCGGGGTTTAAGATTTGAGGTTTAGGGCTTAAGTGTTATTTCGGGATTTAGGGTTTAGGGATGTAGGCTTTTGGGGTGTTGGAATTTAGGAGTTTAGGGGTTTATTCTTCGGCCTTTGTTACAAGTAGAGTCTGTCGACGCGAGGGTTCCAACACAGGCAACAAGTTTGTTGACTGGGGCTTTAGACTAGGGTAGTTCTCTAAATTAACGTTCCTTTATTAAAGGTCCCCCAAACCCTAAAACCTAAACCCCTAAAAAAGGACACCGAAACCCTAGCTCAGAGGAATGCCCATTTGGTGTTTGCGACTTTGGAGCCTTTCGGGCTTCAAAAATCTGACGGTTTAGGGTTTATGGGGTTTAGAGTTTAGGGTTTAGGGTTTAGGGTTTAGGGGTTTAGAGCTTTGGGTTTAGGGTTTTCGAGCTTATAGTTTAGAGTCTAGGGGTTTAGGTATTCTGAAGTGCTTTTCCCAGCCACGCCTCCAAAACCCTTGTACCAGGAGATGTAGACGGAGTCAAACCTGGGGCTGCAGAGTGGTTTGAAAAGGCCTGTTCTGGGCTTAACCCAGAGACCCTTTAATTAAGGAATATACCTTAAACCATAATATTACAGTAAGGCCCCGATCAGTCCTTAATTAAGGGGTATTGGGCTCCCTGGGAAGCTGCTTGTGCTTCAAGTTTTGGAGCCCAGCCCTCGCGGAAATCGGAGTAAATATGCTTTGTGGGTCCAGCTTTGGTGTATAGCAAAGCTCGACGGTCATGAACAAGGACTTTCCTGAAACCTTGCTGCTTATCTACACGGCTGGCAACATGTCCCACCTCCCGCCCTGTGTAATATAGGGGCCCTAATAATTTAAATCGGTTTTGGGGCCCATTATACTATAATTCTAATAAGGAACCCCCAAAACCCTATTCTAATCATTCGAATTATTTAAGGCCCCTATATTAGCCCAAACAAGTCCAGGCGCAAGGCGCAGATTTCTCGAACATCACGGCCGTAGAATGGCTGTGCCTGGCTTTGGGTTTAGGGTTTAGGGTTTAGGGTTTAGGGCTTCGGGCTTAGGGTTTAGGGTTGCAGGTGTGAGCAGTCATGTGCTTTGCACTGTTTTGGGCTCAGGCTTCATTGCTTCATGGTGAGTTCTTAGCATGAAAACCAAACCACTCCCTGTAGTCTCCATTGTAGTTCCTTTCTTTGGTTTAACCAATTATATATTCAGGATTTTATAAGGCATCCCCAAAAAACGGCTACAATGGAGACTATAGGTAAACCCTAAACTCCTATACTCTAAACCCCAAACCCTCAACTACTAACCCCAACACCCTCATTCCCTAAACCCTCATCCCCAAACCCTAAACCCTATTATAAACCCCTGAACCCTAAACCCCTAAACCCTAAACCCTAGACCCCAAACCCCCTAAACCCCTAAACCCCTAAACCCTAACCCAAAACCCTAAACCCTAAACCCTAACCCAAAACCCTAAACCCCTAACCCCTAAACCCCTAAACCCTAACCCAAAACCCTAACCCAAAACCCTAAACCCCTAAACCCTAAACCCAAAACCCCTAACCCAAAACCCAAAACCCTAAACCTTAAACCCGAAACCCCAAACCCTAGACTCTAAACCCTAAACCCGAAGCTACTAGCCCCTAAACCCCTGAACCCAAAACCCTAAACCCTAAACCCGAAACCCTAAACCCTAAACCCTAAACCCTAAACCCGAAGCTACTAGCCCCTAAACTGGCCTCTCTTGCACCCGGATCGGTGCTCGTGGTCCGGGGTGGCGCCGGGAGTAGTATTGTGGTGGCATTTCGGTCTGCCCTTTTTTGGGTTTAGGATTTAGGGTTTAGGGTTTATAGTGGTGGCATTTCGGTCTGCTCTTTTTTGGGTTTAGGGTTTAGGGTTTAGGGTTTAGGGTTTAGGGTTTAGGGTAGGTGGCATTTCGGTCTGCTCTTTTTTGGGTTTAGGGTTTAGGGTTTAGGGTTTAGGGTTTAGGGTTTATGGTGGTGGAGTTCCGGTCTGCTCTTTTTGGGGTACTCGGGGACCACTGTCTCTTATTTGGGGGGAGTAGGGGGGGGACTTTTCTGGTTAGATTCCTGGACTGGGAGAGATCTCCGGCATGAAACGCGGTTGCGATTCTTGCTGTTGTCATTGCAATCGGGCTGCTTCAAATCCGAACTTTGCGAAAGATGTGTGCCTCAAAGAGGCGGGCCCCATCCATGTGCAGCCGTGCACCCGACTCTGTTACGAGTCGGCGGATCTCCGTTAGAGCCTCCCATCTGCACGTTCGTCCTCCATTCCTTGGTGTCGTGGATTGTCGTCGATGTGAAAAGATTATGTATGCATGTTTCACTGTCGATGAAAGCTGATGCGTGAATGATGACTTGTAAAGAGAGCTGACAGCTGCAAACTCAACCCCTGGATGCCAACTGCAAACCAACAGCCGGGTGAAGACATTAAGCACGACACTTCGCACCGTTATGTTGCAGAGTTTCACCCGGGCGATCAAACTACCTAGACCATCAATTTACCCTCAGGAGAATCTAGGGTCTTGGGGCCCATTATAGTAACTTCATGATCAGGAACCCTTCAGGAATAATTTATATTGGTTAAAAAAATCGGCTGCCATATTAATTCAGGGCCTCACTCTGTCTAGAAGGGTTCTCATGAGGCCTGCATCCCAAACCGAACAAGTTGAGGGGCGCAATACCTTTTGGAAACACGATCCGAAAACCCTAAACCCTGAACCCAAAACCCTGCTGCTTGTTCGAATTACTCCGCTCACCAGATTTGGGAGGCTCGGTTTAGGGTGTAAGGTTTAGGCAAGACTTCTAATATGCCTCCCAGATTCATGCCTCTCATAGGGTTTAGGATTCGAGTGGATGGGTTTCCCAACGAATGGCTGGATCTCTGTGGCGCATTTGCAGCAAGCGGCTGATTCAACGGACGACATGACGAAACTCTTGATAGAGTGATAGCATAGGCGTTGTAAGCCGCTTTTAAAAGCTGTATGGCTTCCGCGGGCTGCAGGCCATAAAAGTTGAACTTCAACGTGCCGGGGCCCTAGTAAGATGCCGAGCACTCTCGAATCTTGGTTTTTGGTTTCCCAGGCTTGATGCGCCGAGGGCCCCGGGAACCAAGAATCGAGAGTCCTGGGCATCTTAGTTCTCTGGCTGCGTTAAAGTTCAAGCTTTCAATGCAGGTCTTAATGCACTGCATGTTCACGTGGTTTCTTTCGGCTAATTGGCGCTTCATGCGGATTCGTGTGCGTGAGTTCGTGATTCATGTGATTTCAGTGGCTTCATTTGATTGTGACTCTTGCGTGGTGTTGGAGTTTCATTGTGTTCAGTCGGTTCTGACTCTTGCGCGATGCCATATGAAACATCTAGATCGTTGCAGATCTTTGGGGGAGAGCGACCATGTATATATATATATATATACACACGACACACATACAAGTACAGGTACGTGTACTACACATACATACATACACACACACACGCACACGTGAGCAGACGCATACACGTACGGAAACGCAGACACAAACAAACACACACCTACAAATATATATATATATATA